GTCTGGGCCGAGGTGGAAAAGTCCCAAATAGTGTAGGTTGACCTCGAAAGAGAAAAGCGACAGACACCCCATCCCCTATTGCAAGAAAGAAACCAGCTCCAGTTCCATGTGAAGATGTTCGCTATGACAATGTTGCTCATTGGCCAGGATGTAGAACAAAGAAAAACAAATGTAGACTATGTAAAACAAGCTACAGTCGTGCCTATTGCAAGAAATGTGATTTATGTCTTTGCTTAAACAACACACGCAATTGCTTTTACGATTTTCGCACGAAATAAATGAAAAGTATTGGGACATCTGCAGCTAAACAATGTAAAATCATGCATTGTGTGTGGATATATAAACAGGTTACAGGGAGGCATGTTTATAAGTACTTACATAATTTTGCATTGTTTCTTAGCATATGAACAAGTGTAATAACACATATCATTGGTTGTATATTCAAATATAATATTTTATGATTTATTCCATCATTGTTCATAGTTGCCATATGGCAACCATTGGGAAATACTATACAACTGAAAAAATTTTTGGAAACATCATATCCAATAGTGTCCAATAAAGGGTTAAAGCAAAATATATTACATTAATTCACAAATACGGATAGTAAACTAAAGGCTAATTTCCACTCTTGAAAACGAGCAGCGGATCAGATCGGAACGAAAGATAATTCGCGCGTGCGTTGTCTGTTGAAATTTTTGGCTTATATCGATCCGAAAGCGTCAGACACCGGATAAAAAAAAGTTCAAATAGTTTTAACTTTTTTATCCGATCCGAAATCACTTCGTGGATCGGACCAGCTCGGAAAAAAATCCTATCCAATCTGCTGCTTGTTTTCCGAAAATTAGTGGAAATTATCCTTGAAGGCTAATTTCCACTCCGGAAAACTCTAATTTCCACTCTGGAGTGGAACTCTAATTTCCACTCCAGAGTTTTCCACTAAAGGCTAATTTCCACTCTGGAAAACGAGCAGTGGATTGGATCAGATTTTTTTCCAACCAAGCCTGGTCCGATCCATGAAGTGATTTTGGATCGGATAAGAAAAAGTTAAAACTATTTTTATCTGGTTTTGGACACTTTCGGATCAATATAAGCCAAAAATTTCAACAGACGGCGCACACACGGATTATCTTTTGTTCCGATCCAATCAGCTGCTTGTTTTCCAGAGTGGAAATTAGCCTTAACAGTGCATTTTGGTGCTGACACCAGTAACTATTTTCCATTTATTTCTATATTATATCTACTACCATCCTTCTATTTGCAATGTAAAGTAATACTCTTCACACCTTGTCCTTGACAAATGTTTTCCTGTCCTTCAACTGCGACCATGTGATGGCTTTCACTGCTGTCAGATCCCAGCGGGCACACAATGTCGTTTTGACGCACACAATGTCAAAAATTGGTCGAAATTAAGTGGAGACGTAAATCGACTTAACATCGACGTCGTTTTGATGTTAATTTGACGATGTATAATAGACGTCGTGAAAAGAATGTTGTCTCTGATACCTGTTATCAAGGGCAGTCTGACGTCCTAGTATTGCCTGGCTGAGCACGAGGCTATATATAGCTACATTATACATCGAACTGACAACCCATATGAACGTTTGCCCAGATTTATGTATGTATGTACATACGTATGTACGTACGTACTACGTACGTACGTACGTGCGTACGTACATACGTACGTGTGCGTATGTACCTGCGTATCTGTATGTATGTATCTGTATGTATGTATGTATCTGTATGTATGTATGTATGTATGTATCTGTATGTATGTATGTCTGTGTGTGTGCGTGGGTATGGCAAGTCATACTGGACAAAAGCATACAGAGAATTGTAAATGATAGTCGAGAAGTGCACACATTAGTTGAGAATTGAATACTGTTGTTGAGAACAGTGCAATCAAAACCCGAGAAATTTGTTCGCGACGCTTGAGAAGTGTGCACTATAGGTTAGTAATGCATACAATGGGCAAGAAGTGCATGCAGTGGTCGAGAAGTTGCACGCGATAGTCGAAATTTTCGCCTGTCCTGTGGGTCAGCGGTTATCAATAAAAAATCGGATATCTCCGAACATACTCGTCGCCGGTGATCGGAAAATGTCAATGTGGCTTCGATAAAGTCTCGATATGTACATTTTACGAATTTTATTCAAATTTCAACAATGTCCGTCGCTCCTCGAGCTTGTTGTTCATGTTACTGAGTTAATATGGCTGAAGGAAACCGTATAAACCAGGACGGGGAAGTGATAAGAAAACTATTTTCAAGAATAACAGAGTTGTCGATGTAATGTAAAATGTAAAATCGTAATTTTATTATACATTTTCTAGATTTGTACTTTTAATTTTAATATAGGAAGACAATAAGCATGGGAAAACACTTGTTCAGTTAAGTTCAGCTGAGCTGCAGGAAAGAGCAACAATTTTCAATCCAACAAATTATCAAATAAGAGTTAATGCTGCTGCTCTTGAGTTATGCCAGGATGATGCAAGTCTTCTGTTAAATAAAGGAAAATTATTTGAAGAAGCCTGGAAGAAAGTGGATGCATCAGGATATCAGTATGTAAAGAAGTCATCAAGATCAACTGTCTATGGTTCTGGCAAGCAGCCTGGCAAACCGAAAAGAAAAAATATGTAAGCACTGAAATTAGAGCTGCTAGATAAAAGAAATCACAGATGCCATTTCATCTCATAATGAAACAATAGAGTTGTTATGCAAACAAAAGGAGCAGTATAGCAACGCTGAAAAGTACCTCCAAGCAGCTGATGTGAATTCAAGTATCCTTGAGAAAAAAAGAGGGAAAAGTATACTTAAAAAAAGAGTTGAAAGAGCTCAACAAAGCTAAATCCAAGAAGAAGATATCAAAGAAAAGGCGTCATGAAGTTCCTAGTGTAAATACCAATGAATCACCTGGGAGCACAGATGTTTATATTAGCAGTGATAGCAGTCATAGCACTGAAAATGACCCTTCCATTCCACCTTTGGTAAGGCAAAACGCAATTGCCGGTATGATCTACAGTTCTACTGTTGCAGCACCACAGAGTGCAACCACCAGTGCAGAATCTGTCCAGGATTTTCCAGAAGCCCCAAAGTTGTAGATTTATCAGCTTTGGGGGACACAAATGAATGTCACCTAAACTCAGATGAATGTCTTGCAAAATACATGAAATACGTTAAGCAAAATCTCACAGAAGGGCGAAAAGTAAACGATGATCTGTATATAACATGTATTAAGGACATGTCTTTAGCTGAATTTGTTGTTATGGCAGTGAAAAGACACTGTAGCAATATTCACGGTGATCGAATTTGTGTTAAGTGTAAACCTGTTGTTATAGCTGCGAATGAAATAGGTGAAAAGGGCATTGTTTCACTATCAGTATTATACACACAATTTTTTGGAACTGTGTACAAATCAGACAAAGCTATTCGACGTCTACTTCAATTTCCTGTTATAATTTTTCGTTCATTTAATCAAGTGTTTGTAACCGAATTTGTTGATAATATTGACTTTAGAAAACCTGTTCACTGTGTTTCTAAGTATATTCCTAAAAAAAAAAAGGTCATCTGGAGTGGACAAAGACAGTTTACAATTAATGTGTGAGTTAGCAAGCAGTGAAAAGGATAGAAGATTAATCAGAGTAGCATGAGATCAAGGAAAGTCAGCAAACGAGGCAAAAGCAATAGGTATTTCCGATCTAAATAAGGAAAAAGCCATGGTTTATGAAGCAATAGAAGAGTATCAAGAGATTAAAAGAGCTGTAAATAAGATAGCGGAAGCGAAAAATGTTAGTATGAGGTATGATTTTACTGCTAGCTCGTCACAGACCAGTAGTGAAGAAGAATCATGTGTTTGGATAAGTGGTGATGCCAGCGATGAACATTCAGTGGAAAGAAGTACTGGTAAGGATAAACAATCTTTAGAAGGGCAAAATATATCATCATATGTTATGCAGGAACAAGCAGAGAGTACTACACAATCAACCACAATACCACGTCAATTTGCTTTGATAATAATGGTTAAAGAAAATAAAATGAACTGGCTTTCATTTGTTGAAGAATTGAAACTTAACATTAACAACCTGTCTGAAGAAAGTTTAGAGGAACTTCTTGAAGGTCTTCTTGAAGATCAGATTCATTCACAACAGTGATCTAACTGACATTGAGAAATATTGTGCAGACCAATTGTATCAAGCATTCCTTGCTGTCAGAAAAAAAGCCAGCAGAGAAGATCAGGAAGTTGTCACTGCATCAGAAAGCGACAACCCAGAAGACTGGGTTCATTTGAAAGAAGCTACAGCAGATTTGGCTCAACTCCAGAATAAAATTCATAAACACGCAATTATTCTTAAGAAATACAAAAAGCGCCTTATTGCTAAAGAAATTGCCCGCCGTTGCTTACTCAAGAGGAAAGTTCCCAATCGTGTATCCAGAATGGTCTTAAAGTATCCCAATATTAGAAAAGATATTGAAAAATTCGCCCGCGAGAATCGCATTGGGGCAGATTCCTGGAGAAGAACTGGTGTGTTGACGTTCAATGGAAATGTGAATAGTTCAACTGTGCTGTGTTAAGAATAAGAGAAAACTGTCTGCGAAACGATATTTTGGTGCAGCTAAGATTGTTTCGAAGCGTGCAAGGAAAGGATTTTCAGTGAAACTTAATGTTGATGCTCATCGGAGCTGTGCATTTTACAAAGGATTAGATTTTCTGCAACTTAAAGATGGAAGAGATAAAGTAATTTTAAATAGGGATGATGCTGCTGGATTTCGATTAGACTCTACCTTTACACATAAGCAACACAAGATACTTGCAGAAGCTGGAAATCCTGAGCTGACTACGCGGACTGACTTTCTAAATAAATACACTGCGACTCTGCAAACAACATTGTACTTGTTTTTGGAGACAGAAACTACACCAGAAACTTGCATAGGAGTAGTCAAAGCTCACAAAGTACATCACAAGAATCCAGCTCAACATGCCAGTGATTTGGAGATGTTAGAAAGTCATGATGAAGCGAAATCGTCCCTTGCTGGACAAATTGACTGTATCAGAGTAGATGGTGCCACAGATGAAGGGCCATCCCACTATGAAGTGCAGTTTATGTGGACTGAAAGACATATTAACCATGGTAAAATTTGTGCTATAGTAACAACAAGATTTGCCAATGGAAGTTATCTCAACAAGGTTGAATTACAAAATGAATGTCTTGCCTTAGGACATTCTAATGTATATATACCATCTACAATCAATGGCTCAAACTTTGTTGATAGAGAACTGGATAATGAAAAGCTGTGTCAGAATCTTGAATCTGCAATAACTGTGTATACAAATACTGTCAATGAAGCTCCTTGTGGTGGCAAACCTATTCATCTGACGAGAGGCAGTACTGATGGACTCTGCAAGAAACAACAAGAAAGGCATGCCCGGTTATTAATTTTTTTTGAGGGGATCTAAAAAGAAGAAGAAGCAACTACAAGAAGAACACCCTAAAGAGTATAACTACTTCTTAAAAGTTTGGAATGTCAAGACAAACCACACGGCCAACGATTTGCCTGAAAATTACATTTTAATGTTAGTTCCCTGCTACAAACCAGACTGCTTGCATCCAGTTTGCCGTAAAGGTCGTCCTGAAATAGGAGTCAACATGGTTCAAAGATGGTCCACCTTTAACATTTATTGCGCTTCCAATTCCTGACCCAAACAGACCTTTTGGAGGTAACTGTGAAAGTTGCAAACAAAATAATCAAAGTTGTTCTGGCCATTATCTACCACCTGAACTACAATACAAATGGAAAGAAAGGAATGTGGAGAACGGTCCTGTCCAACCTCCGAGTAAAATACTTAAAGCGTTTGTGAAGACCCATGCAACATTCTCAGAAGATGATGTAAATGCTCGTGAATGCTTATTGAGTGTATCAGATGTTCAAATGTGGCTGGAGAATGTAAAGAACAAGAAAAAGAACCTTTAAAGGTTGGTACTTTTCACATACACGTACAATTCATAGCTTTGTTTAGGTAAGATAGTTTTATTAAAATCACATCGCAGCCTTTGCGGTTGAATTACATAATTTCTATTTACAATTAACTATAATAATAAACTATTTTGGTTAAACGTATGTTTCTTTAAAAACTGTACTTTTGTACCTATTCGACAGAAAACTGGAAGACTGACTGGAATAACAAGTCCCAGAGGATCGTAGATAGAATTAATTACTGCTAGGACACCACGCCGAGTGAAAGGCTTCTCGGGTAAAGAAATTCTGAAGGATATGGTATCCTTTTGTAGATTCCAGACTATACCTAAGGAAAGTTGCGATGGTAGAGGATCACAATAAAGATCAAGGTCTCGAAGGCTCTCAGCCTGATCTTCCAGTGGTATAGCTTCCATCACTTGCGTTGAATTTGAGGCGATCTTATGTAGACGAAGGTTTGCGGTTGCCAGCATTGACTGTGAGTTCTTAATAAGGTCAATTGCTTCTTTGCTGGTTGAACACGAGGTTAAACCGTCATCAACATAAAAATCATTTTTAACAAATTCTTTGACGACTTGACCAAATTTCTCCTCACCATCATCAGCTGTCTTTCTAAGACCGAACATCGCGACAGATGGGCTGGAAGTGTTTCCGAACAGGTGCACTGTCATATGATATTCAATAATCTTTGTTTTATCGTTCCCTTCAAACCAGAGAAATCGTAAAAGGTTTCGGTGCGTAGGGCTAACGTAAAAGTTATGGAACATCTGTTCTATGTCGCAGACAACTGCGACGTGGTTTAGCCTGAATCGAATGAGTATTCCGAGAGGATTGTTCAAGATGTCTGGACCTGACAGCAGTTCTTTGTTCAGCGATGAACCTTGGAATTCTGCGGATGAGTCGAACACCACGCGAATCTTGCCTGGTTTCCTCGGATGGTAGACTCCCAAATGAGGAAGATACCAAACCTTCTCGGGATTCGTTACTTCATTCGTGGAATCAATGGATGGCACAGGGACAGCATGACCACGTTCTAGCAATTTTTCCATAAATTCCAGGTAGTCCTTTTCCATTTTCGGTTTTCTCTTGAATGATTGTAATAAATTGTTCATACGACTTTCTGCTTGTTTTCGGTTGTTTGGAAACTTTACATCCAAGTTGCGAAGAGGCAATGGCATTTCCCAGTTCCCTTTCTCGTTCTTGTGGATTGCTTCGTCCATAAGTGTTAGGAATCGTCGATCTTCGATAGACAAGCTTGGTTCATTATCACGAACTGTAGTCTGGAAAACAACATCTTCTGGTTCATCGTAGCAGTCTTTCACCTCTAACTTATTTGGGCATGATAAATATTCAGTGTACAAGGTTTGGTATGGATGATTAACCTTTGTTTGTGAATGAACTTGAACACCATCCTCAAGTTTATTGGATAAATCGCGGACGACGGTTCGGTGAGTCGTAATGTGAATAGGTCCTCCTTGACGGTTGACACACATTCGACCACATACGGTCCAGCCAACAGCCAACCTATGCGCCCACGGAGCTCCTTTCGGCCCATTGCGGACTTCCCTAACTTTCATTATCTCGGGTGCATCACGACCAATTAGTAGTTGGACTTCAGCTTCCGAATTTAATGGAGGTAATTTGTCTGCTACTTCACGAAGATGACCGTACCTTTTAACTTGTTCAGGTATTGGGATCTCGCGTTTATCGGAGGGTATATTGTCGCATTCAACTAATGTTGGTAATTTCATTAAAACTCCGTCCGAGGATGTTATTGTTAGTCCAGAGACGCGACGGCCATAGTGGGTTTCTTTTGATGAACTACACGTGGTTAGACAATACTTCTCTTTTGGTCCTTCCAGTCCGAGATCGTCGACGAGCTTTGGAGCAATCAAAGACGCGTTGCTTTGTTCGTCAATCAATGCGTAAACTTTTACTATATTTTGTGGTGTTTTTGGATGAAAAACATCTAACAGAACGATCTTGCTGCATGAGACCCCTTCAATAGACGTTGGCGAAATGTCCGTGCAGGCTGATTTTACTTCTTCTTTCTCCTCCTCCTTCATTATTTTCTTCTCCATGTGCAGTATCCCGAGGTGGCGATTACTGCCGCACTTCGTACAATTCACTTCTGTTTTGCAGTCATGTTTTTGTGTCAGGCATCGAAAACATAGTCCAGCTCTTTTCAACCAGTCTGTTTTTTCCTGAAGCGTTTTCCGTGCGAACGTTTTGCACTCTAATAGATTATGACCATCGATATCGTGGAATATACAACGTTTCTTGTTTGTCGACTCTTGTGCTTGCCCCATATCTCCTTTTAAGACTTTATAGTGTTGTTTTCCTGCCATGTTCTTGTCTCTTTGTAAGCTATCCGCTAAGGCTGTAACGTTAGGGTGGTTACACAATTGTGACTGTTTTTCTACTGTGTTCGCAAATACTTCGAACTGTGGGTAGGCGTTGTTATGGCACTTTGCAAATTCAACGACTTTTTTCTCCCAACTATGACAAATTCTCTCTGGTAGAACATTAAGGATTGGTCGCATTGCCGTCGGATAATTCAAACATCCAAGACCGGGGAGTTGGTCGATTTGTGAAGCTACATCGAGACATAGATCCGAGAATGCCTGCAGCTTTTTCTTTTCTTGTTCTCCAAACTTTGCTGATTCTCTCAGTTGCACCAAAAAGGCATTTGTTATGATGGCTGTGTTGCCATATCGATTCTCCAGTTCTAACCAAAGCTCTTTCAATAATTTTGACATATTGCTGTACTGTCTCTTTCGAAAGCTATTCACCAGTCTCTGGGATCCACCTCTGGTAAACATGTACAGATAATTCATCTCCTGTTCTGCAGTAACATTGGCACCTCGTAGCATACTATTAAACGCGCCTTTCCAAGGGTGGAACATTGTAACGTCTCCGGCAAACAGGTCAGGTTGGCATTTAGGAAGGCTCATTCTTGCAATATTTGCCGCCAATTTCTCATTCGTTGTTGCGACAGCTCTCATACCTTCGTGAAGTATGGGTCCTGAGTTGTCTGTACGATTTTCTTGGATTTGCGTATCTGTATCTAACTTTGAGGCTTCTTTTTGCAGTTTGTAGGCAGGGGGTGGTTTTTCTGTTTTGTGCGCTTCCCGTCGTTTCGTTTCCAGTTGGACGTTATCTTTTTGCTGACTTATCCAGGATTTAGTGCGTGACGTCACTGACGCTTCGCTTTGTGCAACTATCTCTGTTTTGCTCATGCTTGATCTTACGTCACTGATAGACTGTTCGATTGCCTCTAGTTTTGCTTCGGCGATAGCTTTTTTCTTTTTCGCCTCCAAAACCACCATATCTCTATTGTGTTGTGCTCGCGCAGCTTCTCGATTCCATTCCGCTTCAGCCTCTTTCTCAGCCATCAGGACATCATACTCCGCTTCTTCCCTTGCTGCCGCTACATCAGCCATGGCTTTCATTCTAGCTGAAGTCGACGATGCATGAGATGATACTCGAGATGACTTTAATATTCTTGAGTCTTCTGATAATCTTGGGCCTTTGGATGCAACATCAAATTTCTCAGCTGTACTCAAGAGTTCTGCTGCTTGTCGTAAAGCTGAATCCGCATATCGAATATACTTTTCCTTTGTTTCTCTAACTACGTCTTTCATTTCTGCACTCTCATTCCATCTGTCTTCAGTTATCAGGCGCTCTAGATTTCTATAACCGCTTTCAAATGTTTGCTTGTTTATTTCAAGTGACGTAACGGCGCGCTCAAGCGTGATTAATTTTTCACCCTTTTCAATCGAGGTGTACACTGAAGCGATAGCTTGCTGCAATAATTTTGTCTGTTTGTTAAAAACTGCCGTTTTCTTGACAAGGGCGTTTTGAAAACCCTTTTGCGTCGGAATTCTCGATCGTTTTTCTCTCCTATCGATTAGTTCGACGGTTTCTCCCTCCTTATCCTGCTCTGAAACGTCAGACATTGTCCTGTCGACAAAGGTTGCATTTTGTAATACTCAACTGTCCGTAAAGTTCACCATTCCAACGTTGAGAGTTAAGTTTCAGATTTTTCACTGTCGTGCCTCCGTGACAGGAGTCCGCAGCTTCAACCAATTTAACGAGACTTATTTATTCGTATAAAGGTGAAAACTAAAAACAATTACAAATACACGATTGACAACAAACTATAACTACAGATGTTAGCAATATAATACAATAATATACAGACAATAAAGGACAACTTACATCATGCTCTAACTGTCAACGATTCCCCGATTCCCCCAAATTACTCCAAATGTGTTCAAATCCGATTCCCCCCGAATTACTCCAAATCAGTTCAAAAATAAAGTCCGTATTTCTCAACGTACGCGTGTCTTTTTAGCTAGTTAGTCAAGCGCGGCTCATTTTATACAAAATATTTGCATATTTAGATTAATAGTCCATGCATGACACAACAATACTAGTATTGGTGCTAGAAACATTGAGGCTTCTTGAACTTGTAAGACCTCCCTGAAAGTCAGCCTATGACACCTTCCTCTCTAAATATACCACATTATTCATTATTCACTTCAAACATTGTTCTTTCATTCACATGCAATCATTATAAAAATCTCTATTTCGAATATTTTTATTGATCATGTGCAAAACTTACATTTTAAGGTTGTTTGCTGATTACAAAACATAAAATAATAACAAACTGTAATAAACTCACAATAGGCCACTTCCGAATTACAGCCGAATGCCCACCGACATTCGACCTGAGAACGAGGCTTAGTGCTAAACTGTAATCAATTAGCACTAAGCCTTGACTTGGTGTTATTGTTCTAGCGTAATTCGGAAGTGGTCTATTAGACAGCAAGAATTCTTCAATTTGATAACCTAAACTCAACATTTTCCCCTGGAGGGGAGGGGAAAACTCAAAGATTCATAAGGATTTTAGCCCCAGGGGGAGGGGAAATTACCAATGTTTTCAGAACAGATTGTCAAAGTCCCTACCCCAGCCCGGGGTTCCCACCCCCGGGATGGCCGATGACACATGCATAAAGAGTGATCAAAACGAAATGAAAAGCGATAACTAGCATAAATAGACTAAAAACACCTTCAAAGTATTAAAAAACATTAAAAAATCGACACACATTACTAACATTACATGAAAATACACATAATTAACATTACAAAAATATTATGAACATAACATAAACATACAGGCACAGAAAATGGAATTGTAACAGAACCCCAACACACATATTGCATTAGGCATGTTGTCCGCCATTTTACTCTGGCCAGATAAATACATGTTAATGGCCAATACACATGCTGTACTGGCTAAAGTTGACTGCACACATGAACAATGTAGTTGAAGACTGAGTACAAACAGAGATTTCTGGGCTACTGTGCATAAGCATGTGCATACCCTATTGTTATTATTAACATAAACCTGCATGAACGGTAGAATAAAAAGCCTGAGCGGTTGCAAATAATATGTGTTGTTTTCGTTTATAAGCTTTTTGTGGCAATTAATTTTATTCGTTCTTCTTTTTGTCTTTCGATCAATTCTGGTTTTTTCTTTATTTGACTTAATCTGATGGCCACGAATGTAATTCCTAGTGCAGACTCCTTTTTTCCCACATCAATCCAACACTTTGGCCAAGTCAACCCTTGAATTGTGAGAGCCCATTTGGTCCTAATCCAGACATATCTCGAAAATTTATGTTAATGGCCTTTTAGTGGAAAGTTTCAAAGAAACTTTCATCCTTGTACCCAGCGTCTTCATTACCTACGGCAAAGACCCTGGTATTGGTTGGTCATGTGCTCTGTGTCAAATTTCTCTCCTGTGGGGGGGGTGTATATGAATGAATAATTATAAATTATTCATTCTTATGGACGCCATGTTGAAAAATTCGAAGTGTCTGGTTTTCTTGTCTGGTTTGGATTTCGCTATTAAAAGTAGTTTCTTTAACGATTTAACGTTTCTTTAATTATTTTAAAACCTAAACAAGTCCTTCAGCGAGAAACTCTTGTTGTTTTGCCTACTGGGTACGGCAAATCTTTGATATTTTATCCAACACCCGCACTGTTGTTTGGTGAAAAATACGGTGTTGAACATGTTGATCATGATGTCAATATTACCTCTGTTGTAATAGTTGTATCACCTTTAAATGCCCTTATTACAAATCAAGTCAATCGCTTGAAGTTACACAGGATTGAAGCGGCTGTGCTTGATATAAAGAGTTCGGTGGCAGTCAATGCTCTCGGCAGTGATTCTGGAGCTTTGAGGCAAGATCTATCGGAGGATGAAGACGAAAATACAGATACCGAATCATTTTGCCACTGTGTTGATATAAAGAGTGTAAGATGTGTCATTCATGTTGCCATTCAGGCATATTTTCAAGAAACTGGCCATGCAGGATGAGATGGGAAACCAGCTTCTGCCTTCCTGTATTATTCCAATCGAAGATAAATAAATAAAAGTTGAATAGTAATAATAAATAAAAGTCCACTATGCAAATAACAGTATTTATAAAATGATAAATAGTTTGCCTTATTATTGCTATATTATTATATTATGTATATTTACAACTTACAAAAATGTTAATATTTACAAAGTATTATGGGTATGGTTTTTGGATGATTGGATAGCATTGTGCAATGGATCGTTTTTCCTCACATTTTGACTTAAAAAGTGGCAATGCACCATACTTTATGTATTTACCCTAGCACCAGACAATTTCCTCGTAAGTAGCTTTCAGGGTAAAATGATTAACAAAATATCTACAGATATACCTATGTTTCTTAGGCAGGCGCTAAATGACACGTTTCTGTTGAATATAATTCAGACGAATTTAATTGCATTTTATTCGACAGAAATTCAACGCAAATTCGTTACCGAATTATACGTCGAATTTATGTCGCAGAAAAGTAAAAATATCTTAAACAGAAAATTAAATATGGTGCCGACCAACCGTTCAGTTTTTCTTTTCACTGCATGTTACAAAAGAATTCCTTTGCAACGAAAGAGAAGATATTTAAGGTGGAATTTATTACTTCTTTATCTTAAGAAAAGGGCGTTACTCATACGCACATGTTATTTGATGTTACTCCTAACACGAAGCGTGAATGAATTTGCTAGAAAACCTCAAATTCGCACTTGCCGTCGTTTGTCAAGGAACGCTGGATGGTGGGAAAATGTCTGGGAGACCTACTAGGTTTATAAGAGAAAACATACTCCGAAAATAAACATCTTGTAAACCCAAGATATGAGTTGTTAAAAACAAGACACAATATTCAAGGTGATATTTCGACTCTATTTCAAAGTCATTGTCAAACCTAACTATTTACAAGCAAGCTGCGATCTTTATACAAATATGCTCCAGCGCAACTTAACGGAACCGGTTAAATTTATTGTTATATACCAAACCAAAAAGATCTCTTATTTCCTTCCTAAAAAGGATAAAATTCCGGATATGTCGCGGAACAATCTAGTTTACGAATTCACTTGTCCAGGCTGCAATATGTCGTATATTGGAAAAACTGAGCGAAATTTGGCAACGAGGCTTTCAGAACATTTGGATCCACTAAAAAGCGCAGTTTCGAAACACTTAATGGACTGTGACGATGCAAACTACCTACTTAACATGAACAATCTTTTTGACAAGCTTAATGATTCTGGCTCCTTTTACTCTTACACTGAACTCGTACCTAGCAATACAAAAATACTCCAGTCTCTCAACCACACAAACTCTAATCTGTTGTTGTTCCTCGAGGCACTGCATATAAAATTTAAAAAGCCAGAACTCAATAGCGGCTTAAAGGCATCAAAGGAACTTATAGTCTTTCCTTAGACTGTATCACTATATGCATGCAAATATCTCGTAATGCCATGTTCTCGTATTTCTTATTAACTCGCTGATTTACGTCATTGTTACTTCCTGACATATTTGTATAAAGATCGCAGCTTGCTTGTAAATAGTTAGGTTTGACAATGACTTTGAAATAGAGTCGAAATATCACCTTGAATATTGTGTCTTGTTTTTAACAACTCATATCTTGGGTTTACAAGATGTTTATTTTCGGAGTATGTTTTCTCTTATATTTCGCTAAACTGTCTGCTGGAAAAGGTTTTTCCTACTAGGTTTAAACTGACCTTTAGGGTATCCAGGGAGACATTTGATTTTATTCTCAGACGAATAAGTCCCGAACTGGAGCGACAAGTTGTGGTTGAACAGCCAATATCTCCTGAATGACATTTGGCAATATGTTTATATCGTTTAGGGAGGGATGATTATACTTAGGCAGATCTTTTTGCACGTGCTGACACACCATTTGAGTTTCGTTCTCATTTGTTCAACAGTGAATGGAAAGATTGAAGGTGGACTATATTTCGAATACCGTTGTTGAAGTTGTTTCAAGATTTTGCTGTGGACATCCACGTTTTTTTGGTTTTTAATGTTTGTAAAAGTCAGAAAATTTCATCATTGACTATTATGTCGATCATATCTTCTACATGCGATTCTTTCCAAAGAGCCTTTCTACCAACTCCTTCCACTTTCTTTTTCCCTCGTTTTTTTCCTGGATTCGTTTCCAAAGGATCTGTCAGTTCAAGGTTATCCCTACTGCTGCTGTTTTCAGAAAATTCTTCGATTGACTCAGTGCGAAGTTTCTTGCGTTGCTCCTCTTCATGTTCAGAAAGAACTTCTTCTGCACAAGTTAAACAATATCCAACACTTTTCTGAGGAATCCATCCGGTTGTTGATTCTTCTAACTCGGCCAAACTACACTCAGCTCGATTGCAAACAAACGAAGAACACGTTATACAAGTATATTTCGTTGATGTTTTACAATGAACACAAGGTTCCTCCATTTTGTCTATTCTGTACAAAAATCGCGGCGCAAATTATTTCGCGCAATAAATATCCAACATCCTCATTGGTTCAATATATTTTAACATAATTTACCTTATTATTTATTAGCTTCATCAGAATTA